TTTTTTTTTTTTTTTTTTTTTTTTTTTTTTTTTTTTTGCTCTCTTATAGGGATCTAAGCTTCAACCATTTAACTGGTCCAATTCCAGCGACATTTCAGAATCTGATCAAGAGAAAGATAGACTTCATGTAAGTGGATAATTGGACACTTCCACTTTGGTTTCATGATATTATCTGTACACCACAATCAACAATGCATTGAATCAAAACCTAACTGATGCAGGTTTCTGACAAACAACTCACTGAGTGGTGAAGTGCCCGGTTGGATCTTGAGGAGCAAAAAGAACATGTCAGTATACCATAGACCCATATATTGACATTCTAGTGGGCAGTGAAGAACTTTGGATTACCGTAGCATGATTATTATTTATGATATATATGTTGGATTGTTGCAGAGATTTGTCTTACAACAAATTTTCAGGGTCTACTCTTGCTAGTTGCCAACAGTCACCTGTGTAAGCTTCTGTACTCCAATGAAAGCAAGGAAAAAAGTTATTAATATTTTCTACTCTGATGAGTATCTCCCCCCCTAAAATTACATGATGGCGTTACCTTTTATTTACTACAGGAACTTGGTAGCCAGTTACCCACCTACAGCGAATCATCAGTAAGAAATAAGATAGTTTTTTTTTCTCCCTTTCTTGATTGCATGTCAAACTTGAGTGAAATGACTGATCGGATTTCTGAACATGCAGAGTTCCTTGGTGCCTCAAGAAGGACCTTCCATGCTCCGGAAAAGCTGAATGTAAGCAGATCAAGATCTAGATAATGGACCATGGCCCCCTTATCTTCTCCAATCCAAACACTATTCATCATATCATATATATATATATACTTCAATTATTTGATCTAGATCAAGATCAGATCAAGTGTTCTGTCATGGATCGTAGTTTGAGTGTTTGATCATTTTATTGTTCTCATTGCAAATGCAGATCATTCCTTGTTTATTAATTGTGGAGGAACCAGATTGAGGGCTGATGGGCATGATTATGAAGAGGACTTAACTACAGAGGGCAAGTCAAATTTCTTTTCTGTTTCAGAAAAATGGGCTTATAGCAGTACAGGAGTTTTTCTAGGTGATGAAAATGCCGACTACTTGGCTACAAATAAATTCGGCCTGAATGTGAGTGGTCTTGGCTATAACCAAAATGCCCGTCTTTCCCCTCTCTCCCTCAAATATTATGGTCTCTGCCTGCGGAGCGGAAGCTACAATGTGAAGCTCCACTTTGCTGAAATTATGTACTCTAATGATCAAACTTTTAGCAGCCTGGGAAAGCGTATATTCGATATATCAATTCAAGTGAGTATTCAACCAGTTTACAGCACTGATAAAATATACAGTCTACTAGTGTGTGGATTTCATTTTTGCAGTGAACTTATTATTTTCAAAATTTCTCGATTTAGCTTAGATATGAACGAAGATAGATTAAGAATTTCAGTTGTTCATCAGCCATACTACATTCTACAGGGAAAACTAGTTAAAAAGAATTTCAATATTGTGGAGGCAGCTGGGGGTGTTGGTAAGAACTTCACAGTGGAAGATAAAAATGTTTCTGTCAATGGCAGTACCCTTGAGATTCATCTATATTGGGCTGGTAAAGGAACCACAGCAGTGCCAGACAGAGGAGTTTATGGACCCCTTATTTCTGCAATCACAGTTACACCAAGCAAGTTCTTTTTTGCACTTTTTCATGATCTTTCCCTTCTTTTAGATGTTCTATAAAATCACTTCTAATTGATATAATTATTTTTGTTATAGACTTTAAAATTGACGAGGGAGGACTATCAGCTGGAGCACTGGCCGGCATTATAATTTCTTCATGTGCAGTACTCATCATATTGGTCGTTGTATTTCTTTGGATGAAAGGTTACATCTGTAAGAAGGAAGTCCCAGCTAATGGTAAAGTTGTTTAGTGTTAACTATACTGAAATTTTGTGTTTCTTTCAGCTATAGGTACTAGAAAAATTGAAAATTTTCTTCTTTTTCCCTTGCTATAGAACTTTCTGGCGTAGATTTACAAACGGGTCATTTTACATTGAAACAAATTAAAGCTGCCACTAACAACTTTGATCCTAAAAGTAAAATAGGCGAAGGTGGATTTGGGCCTGTCTATAAGGTAACTGAAAGCATTTCAGTTCTTTTGTATGCGACAAGATAATATATGTTGCAAATTTTGTTACAACCCTAAACTCTTAACTTGAGATGTTCTTCTTTGGTCAAGGGTAGGGTGTATTGTCTGATGGCGTTTTGATTGCTGTAAAGCAACTCTCCTCGAAATCGAAGCAAGGTAGCCGTGAGTTTGTCACTGAGATTGGGATGATATCTGCATTGCAACACCCAAACCTAGTTAAGCTCTTTGGCTGCTGTGTTGAGGGAAATCAATTGTTGCTAGTATATGAATACATGGAAAATAATAGTCTTGCCCGTGCGCTTTTCGGTAATAGCATGAGTGGCATCTTTGGTTTTGTGAACTGACTCTTTGAGATTGGTATGACCAACTAAATCTTGTCTCGCTTGCTTCTTTTTGTTGTACTTAAGGTCGGGAGGAACAAAGGCTACATCTTGACTGGCGAACAAGGAAGAAGATATGCTTGGAGATAGCTAGGGGGTTAGCTTACCTTCATGAAGAATCAAGGTTGAAAATTGTTCATAGAGACATCAAGGCCACAAATGTGCTGCTCGACAAAGATCTCACTGCCAAGATTTCTGACTTTGGTTTGGCTAAGCTTGATGAAGAGGAGAACACCCACATCAGCACACGAATTGCTGGAACCATGTACTCTTTCTCTCTCTCTTTCTATATGCACATGTGCACGTCAAGAATAATAGATCTCCATAATGGTATTTGCTTTAGACTTTTCCAAAAGGCCACATACTGAAGATGTATTTCTTACTTATAAATTCATGATTATTCTCTAAATTAGCCAACGTGGAACTCCAAACTTTATAGATGTGTGTAACCGGTGAAGTTAACCTAGTTATCATTCTTAAACATTCAAGAACTGATGGTACTAGTTTCTCATATGACACCATTAATATTTGTGCTTTGGTTTTTTGTTTGTCTTCAGCGGTTATATGGCACCCGAGTATGCAATGAGAGGATACTTGACAGACAAGGCAGATGTTTACAGCTTTGGAGTCGTTGCTTTAGAGATAGTCAGTGGAAAAAGTAACACAAATTACAGACCGAAGGAAGAGTTCGTCTATCTTCTTGATTGGGTATTTGCCCACTCACTACTTAATCATATTTTCATTTCACATTCTCTGATTTTCTAGTCCTTGTTCGATAGAGGGCATGAGATAATGAATGATTTTGTTTTGTGTTTGGTACTTGAAGGCCTATGTACTGGAAGAACAGGGTAACCTTCTAGAACTGGTAGATCCAGACCTTGGTTCAAAGTACTCATCAGAGGAAGCAATGAGGATGCTGAACATAGCTCTGTTATGCACCAACCCATCTCCCACTCTGAGGCCAACCATGTCGTCTGTGGTGAGTATGCTTGAAGGCAACATTCCAGTCCAAGCACCCATCATCAAGCGCACTGCATCAGGCCAAGATCCAAGGTTTAAAGCGTTTGAGAAGCTCTCACACGATAGCAGATCGCAGATTTCAAGCTCAACATTTTCGGAAGAAGTTGCTGAGGCTCAGAAAAGCATGTTAATGGATGGGCCATGTACGGAATCCGCAGTATCCATTGACAGCAATGACAAGAATCTCTACCATTCTGCATCCAGTGATCCCATCCAAAATCATCGTCGTGTTGATGGTCTCAAACCGTCAGATAAGTAATTCATGGAACACCATATTTATATTTACTTCTTTCATTGCAGGCTCTGTGTTATTTAAGTCATTTGATTCTTTGTACAAATGAAAGGAAATGCTCTCTCAAATTGGTTATATTTTTTTGGCAACATACTTGTGTGTGCATACTGCATACCATGTTGGATCTCAGCTGTCTTTTGGCAGAACAAATGAGATGAAATGAACTGTAAACAAATTGAATTATATTGGAAAATCTGATCATTCTTACCCTTTTTATACTTTAAATTAATAAATATACTCCCAAACTTTCGAGTTTATCTAAAAAAAATAACCATGACCATAGATTTTCAAAATTCATAACTATACCTTCAAACTTTTTTTTTTTTTCCCTTTCTATAACTCATTAGAGGCCGAAGACTTATAAAAGTGATACTACTTAAATATAAAGTGAGATACCTTGTAAAGTCCAAGGAGCATGAAAGTATTGTGGGTCTAGTGGTTCTGTGTGTAAAAAAGGGTACATGGAACTATGTGCATGAAATTGATGCACATCTCGAGCATAAGAAATGAAGTGAAACGAAGTTCAAGGCCTTGATTTTAAGTCCCATTAAGAAAAGACATGTTTGTATGTGTTTGCATTTGTCTAATACTCAATCTCTTTCGAACTTTTTTTTTAAGGTAAGATCAAGAGTATTTTCTGCGACACCAGCGATTGCTATACAAGTCATAAAATAGTCACGATAGGGATTGGGTTTAGCTTAAGAATTTTTTTTATACATTTTTAATGCTTCAATTAAGAATCAAAAGATTCTTGCTATGTGTGTGTATATTTATAATGATTCAACCGTTTTTTCAATGATACAAAGCACTAAGAACAATGATGATGAACGAAGACATGGCTGTCAAAGAGCTGAAGTTTTGTATATCAAATAATTGAAGTGCATATGAATAGTGTTTGGATTGAAGAAGATAAGGAAGAGGCCATGGTCTATGGAGTGTGATCAACAAAAGCGTAACATTATAATTGAGATTGAGAGCGACTTCCCAATGCCCTTATTCCATTCTCTATGCCTACAGAAGCCCCAAATTCTGTCTCTCCAAGCCTACTTTTCTTTTATGTTTCAGCCCCTCAGCTATTAAATATTTTGATTTAGTCCCTAAATTTTTTTTGTATTGAAAGATAGTGCCATAAAATTTTTCAGATTTCGGACATAAAAGTTCATATGGTAGACACAAAAATAAAAGTTCAGAAATCTATATATTAAACATTTTTTAAAGTTCAGAAAGTTATATACAGCCGACTAAATTTATAACTTAAATCTGAACATTACAAAATTTAAGGTCTAAAAAATGCGTACAATTTGAACTTAAAAGGGTAAGCACAAGAGTTTCAAATTCAGAATGATGGAACAAACTAAAGGCTGAGAAATTGTTGAAGGTGTTTAAACTGGTGCAGGACAAAGAATGATAACAACAATGACATCATTGAAGAAACAAAAAGTTGCACTCTCTGGATATCCATAAAAGTTCAGCCACTGTTGCTTATGGATTATCACAGCTCATTCAGCATTTTATCTATGACTTATGAGCCAAAGATTGAAGACAAAGCAACTCATGCATATACGACACTAACAGTAGAATCTCAGTTTCGAAAAGTAAAGGGCTTTGAACCACTTGAACATCTGTATATATGACTTAACGAGGGAAAATTAAAATTTGAAAAAAGAATAATAATGGTGATGGTGGAAGGGAGCAGAGCCAGTCACGCTCACCTTGATCATGATCCCAATGTCACAGTTCTCTCACCCAGGATTTGCAGGTAACTATTTCGTAATATGTGCTATCCCCATCACGTTACCTTTAAAGAAATGGGTTGTGAAGTAAGCAAAGAGAAGCAGTTTCTAAAGTAAATGGAGTTTTGAAAGTTGATTGGTATGAACAAACCTGGTCCTTGAGTTCCCAAGAGTCAGCTCTAGGTCATCTGAACCACATTCTTCATGAATCCGTTCTCCTTCCCATGCCTTCACAATTCCTGCGGCATTGCTTCCAAATGCGAACTCATCAGAGATCACTTCTGACATTGGAATATCTGCGGTGTGATCGGAGCCTGCTGCAATGGCAGGGGAGCAGGTCCCACTTTGACCAGGGGTCCACATGCGAGATCCTCCTCCACCATTCATTGCTGCTTCCTTGAAACCAAATGGGTTAGTAGAAACAAGACTAAATGTTGGAGAATTGGGCCCACCCTGAGGAATCCTAAGGCCAGCAAACCATTCTGGATTGGGAACAATCTGACGTCCAGGACTTGGAGGAGTAGAAGATGGCAGGGAGGAATTATAGTGTGTACTCCATCCCGGAAGTACAGACTGGTCCTCCCAGTCGGCTCTCAGTCGGGGTGTTCGAGCAGTTGGGGAACTCAGAGGAGGAGTAACAGGTGCACTGATGGAACCTCCATGAATATAGTGATTGGGAAGTTTAGATGAGGATGCCGAAGATGATGAAGATGAAAGGTTTTTGAGCCATGGGATTAGTGAATTGCCATCAGCATTCATATTAGCGACATATGAGGATGATGCTGGGCTTGGAAAAGAAGATGAACCGGGGCTTGGATTGAATGAAGCACAAGGACTTGGTTGGTGAGATGCGTACAGACTTGCGGATGCCGATCCGCCAACCACATCCATACGTTCAATTGGTTTGCATCCCTGCAAATAGATGAGAGAACATTATAGAGTATGGACAAACTAAAACAGATGATACCATGATGATGGGATAGGATGATCTAGCATGTATAGCCGCTTGAGATCATCCTCAAGTTAAGTACAATTTAAAAGAAGAACAAACACTGAAAATCAAGCAACAATCAGCTAAGGGATTATTTCCATACTAGTTCACCCCAACATATATCAAGCTATAAACAATTCGTGTCGTGCCATAACATGTATGATTTCAATATTCCCCCAATTTCTCTAGTGCAGGTTAGATGCAAAAACGATTCAACAGGTTATAGGACGTCAGCGGGTACTTTACTTCCTGAACCTAAAATAATGAAAATGCAAAATTCAATAAAAGAAGGAATCCGTGACAAGACATAGGAGTAGAGCCAACTCCAAAAGGAAAGGAGAGAGACAGAGCTGATAAAGGCACTGTTTGTGTCGCCAACTTGCCATTGAAAAGAAAAGCAAAAAAGAGAAAGATCCCTCTGACTAAATCTGCCACCATAGAAAGGAAGAGCGGTTACCAGGCTAAATACCAGCCAAAAGTCCTGAAAATCACAAATCCATATGATGATGATTAAATGAAGAAGGGCACTTCCTCGAGATCTGCGTAGTCCAATGGCCTCAGATTATTAGGCATCGAGAGCCTAAAAAGAAGCATGAAGAATCTTGTGCTTCACGCGTATAAGGGATAAAAAGAAATCAAAACGTCTCCCTCACCGCAATTAGATAACCTGACGCCGACGAAGAAAAGGAACACAAAAGGGGCAATGGGTCAAAAAGGGATACCATACAACGCTCCTCTGGTTGTTCAAAATGATGATGACTGCCCTTTAGAACATGGAACTTATACTAGACTCAAACACCTTGATGCTCCATTTTCAATTTTCCCGATTGGAATTCTCAACCATGGCCATGGATTCTTGGAACAACTAAACAGGACCGTCCAATTGGCTCAACTAATTCGAAGTTAATAATGTATCTTTCAACTCAAAGCTAAAGAAAGTGGTATCACTATTTTCATCAATATTAAAGAGATGCAAACGAAATTGAATCGACTTCAAGTGAACAGAATGAATCCCAAACAATAAAAAGAAACATAGTTACCTTACGATAAGTGGTACCATCAGGTTCGACGGTCCATCCTGCCTCGTTGCAGAGAGCTTTAAGCACCTCATTGTTATCGCAATGCTTGGGAAGCTTGTAGTTGCCATACATCCTGAGTCCAGCAAAGATCTTAGCCGCTATAGCTCTTCTCCTTCTCTCCCTTCTCTTGTTGTTCTCCCGCTCCCTCCATGTTGGTAGCCTCGTCCCCGACGTCATTTCCACTCCACACACACAAACAAACTCAACCAACAACCTGAAGTTCCCACAGCTTCAACAGATAGATCAGAAAGCAATTCTTTCGAATTGCCTCCGTCTATCTCAAGATGAATATAATACAATTATAATCACAAACAAAACTTCACAGCAACACAGAGAAATCTTTCAACAGAAATCAGCTAGAGTCCAAGGATCGAAACACGAATAAATTGACAGGGTAAAAACGTCTCCCGCAACTTCGAAGTACTCAAATCGAACACGAAAGACAAAAGTTTAGGAAACGGAATTCCGTGAGGCTTTGAAACAACCAATGAATCGGGCTGAAAGAAAAGTACAAACCGCTGAATAATCAGACAAGAAACAACGAAGAAGTAGAAGAAGAGCTGAGAGATATCCGAATCCGATACCCGCCGGAGGCTCCGGATAGGCGACGGCGATGGGATCTTAGATCGGACCACCGTGGACGGCGGAAGAAAGTGAGGTTTTTTCTTTTTTGACAAAGCCCGGGAAATCAGAGGAGAAGCATTTCCATGAAAATGGAAGGGATCGAAGAACAGAACAGAACAGAACAGAAACTAAATGAGCTGAAGGGCATTTTATTAACCAATATTACCCTTTTATTTACCATTCTGCCACTCTTCCCTTTTTCAACAAATCACTCCGTCATTTTCCGTTCACTTTTTTTACTCTCCCTTTCTTTTTTCTTTTTTTTCTTTGCCTTTTAAAACTTTTTATTTCGGAAAGTAAATAAAATAAATTTTTATTGTAAAAATGTATCTTTATTTTATAGAATCTCATAAATGTTTTTTTTTCTCTCTTTTTTATTATTACACATTTATAAAGTTTAAATTTATATATAAAAAATTTATACGTACGATCGACTAGCTACTTCCACCCACTACTAGAAGGATCATTAGTGGTGATCACCGGTGGAGATCGTCAAAATGATCTTTGGAGGAGTTATCGAGTGTGGTCGGCAAAAATTGCTAGATGAAAAAATAAATATTTGGTGTAATTTTGATTTAATTTAAAAGTTTAATAACAAAAAAATTATAATTATAATAGAGTAGCATTTTATAAAAATGGGATTTTAGTAATAATGTTTAATAATGTAATTAGTGAAAATGGGAGTGGAAAATAGGTAAATAGAAAAGAAATATAAAAAAAATAATGGGAGGGGGTTGAATAACTGTCTATGACAGAAGAACCAAAGGGGAGTTTGACACGTGGCGGATGTAGGGAGCGGTGTTTCTCAACGGTCTCTGTCAATTGTGACACGTGTCGGAGTCCGGCCCACGTGAGAGAGAGACAATGGAAGTCGGGTCGGGTTGGATAATTATTGGGTGTATGAAGGAGCAGTACATACTGATGGGGACGCGGGTGGTGTTTGGCTCTGCTTTGTCTGCTTTTTTCACGTGACCCCCCCACCCCATACCACGCCAATTAGCACGACTTTTAATCTGTGGGCCCCACACCCACCCCCTACTCCTTTTATTTATTTATTTATTTATTTATATATTTCATTTTAAATTATATAACTTTTAGTAAAAAATGTAGTGAATGAGCTAAATTAATATCATTTAATATATTTACTTTCAATTTTGAAATAATTGAATCATTAATAAAACAAATGTTTTTTTCTTTTTAATTTTTATTGATAAAATTCAATTTTTTTTATTTGATGTAGGGGAAAATCTCCTAAATTTATGAATTTGTATAATTTTTTTTACAAATTATTTAAATGAGAATATTTTACATAAATTTATTAATTTTAATTTGTAATAAATTTGTTAGTCCGGGAAATTAAAATTTTATATTAAATAAAGCTATATCTAATAGTAATTACATAGACTTAAAGTTCAAAAATGAAAATGAAAATAAAAATGAAAAAAAAAAGGATAATTCTATCAAAGTATTAAAATGAAATTTAAACAAAATTAACAATATGGAGAAAGAAAAGTTTAAAGAAAAGGGAGTGCGTGAAGTCACACGCCAAGGGATAGCGAGTGAAGAGGATGGAGAACAAAAGCACGTGCAAAAGCTGAGGGAAGACTGGTCAACACTTTGACTCTCCCACATTTTCTATTCTTATCCTAACACTCCAAGTATATGCTTCACTTTTTAATACATAAATGTTTTTTTTCTCTAATAATTTTTTTTATATTTTAATTAATATCTATTTTATTAAATATTCACAACCAAATTAAGCCACCTCAGACAGATAATGTTAAAATGTGTTGAGATAAATTTACCTAATTTTAAAAAAAAATTATGCAAACTTACTGAATTTCAACACATTCACCAAACAAAAAATATGGCGGTAAAATTGGTTATTATTATTGTTTCCTTTTTACTCATTTCAATTCCTTTTAATGATAATAATAATAATTATTATTATTATTCCAAAACTATAAGCATTCAAAAAAAAAATTATGCTATCATTACAAAAATAATAAAAAAAATTCTCTTTGAGCCGAAAATCTATTATTTAGTAAAATTTTACTTGTATAAAATTGAAAAGAAAGTTGAGACTTTTAAAAGACGAGTGAAATTACTGAAAACGATATTAAAAGTTGCTGGTGAATGATTGACGGGTTGGATGACGATGAGATTGTATATTTTACGAATTTTGATTCTAAAAAAAAAAATAGTGAACTTTAGGGTCACATGGATTGTCTACTCTACTACCAACAATGATTAATTGTGAAAGTAACAAAATCCAAACTCAGCTCAATAACCAAGCAAGGCAATGAATTGTATCCATAGAGAGCAGCCTTTTCTTTGTACAAATGTCTGAGAAAAAGCATTTTTGCAAGCACTTTCTACACCATTTGGGTCCTCTTTCCCATCTCTTGGGGCTTTTTTTCTAATGCTTTTTCAAACAAAGCATACCAAAATTGTAGCTTTCTCTTCAGATGCTTCTTGATTCTCTCTCAATTAACTTAGTTTGGTTCATTGTTTTTGCTATTAATGGTTTGTTTTTAAGCTATTTTGAGATTGAATTTTAGATTCCAAGAGATCTTTCAGTAGTTCTCGACATCTCTTATGGGTCAATCAAATGTTATTGTTCATGGGGCTGTTAATCTTTAAAAAAAATAATAAAAAAATTAAAGTTTTGATGAAAATGATTGCAGATACTTATGACTATGAAAGCCATTCAATGTTGTTTTCAATGACATGCTTTAATCTACCCAATGGAGAGCATAAACAGGTATTTAAAAGCTAAATAAAACAATTGAAAATTAATGAACAAAACAGAGATTTAAACTAAAAATATAACAATGAACACATCATTAAAGAAAAACAAAACTTGGATAAGCTGAAAATCAAACTCATACCACATTTAAAATGAAAAAAGCAGTGCTTCACACTATTGTGCTCTTTTTTTGTGCTCTATACGACATTCAATCTCTGAGTCTTTCATTGAATCTTTATTTATACAAGTAATCAAGTAATTTAAGACACTGCTAAACTGGCAGAAGGGTTTTTTTTTTTTGTACAAGAAATGTGAAAAGGGATGTTGCACTTTGACCATTTTGAGAAAAGCATCTTACAGGAAGTTAATGGAACCCAAGAGATCGCAATGAATGCATTAAATCGATCAGCTCTGTAGAAGATGAAAGAAAATGAGGAAATTATTGCATTTATATTAACAAAAAGTTAATGTTCATGACAAATAATTAATTTCTGCCCAAGCCATTTGAGACCAAAATAAGACTTAAACCTTTGCAATTTATATACAATACATATTGCATTTCAACTTGAGGAAAAGTAGTCAATTTGAACATAATAGTTAAGGTATTATAACCTCAACCAATATGTGAGAGATTTGAATTTTCACCCTACATATAGTTGAACTAAAAAGAAAAGGAAACCATAGTTACCTCTTTATGAACTGTCACGAATCAAATTGGTTGGTTCACTCAAAACATATTTGGGCAGTTCATATTTGGCACCTGCAATAAGATTGGGCAATGATAAAAATGATATTGATGGTTAAACTAAAATAACATATCATAATTTCTTTAATGAAGCAATGGTATGGACCTCTCTCATCGTAACAAACTGTTAAATCTGCATTTTGAACGATGACCCCAGCACTGTCTATGATTGCTTGCGCTAGAGATAGCTCTGCTTCAGCAGCTGCTCGTAGTGCATCCCAAATCTCTGATATCAACGAAAATTGTTAGTAAATTTTAGTAAGCAGGCCGTGAAGGACAAAGTAATGTATAAGAAAGGTGAGGTCAATGTTGAAGACTTGAAGGGCGTGTAGTAGCCCAAGGATGGAAATAAAATAAAAGAAGATAGAGACTGGAGAGGCTTGATCTTCCTTTCTTCTGAGAGACATTGAAATACTTTTAGATGAATTGGAAGTTCTAGAATGCTATTTTAGAAATTGTGCTCACTTCTAACTCATCTTAGAAGTCCAAACCTTTCAATGTCTTTGAACACAATTTTCAAATCACGGTTGTTTGGGTAAGTCTTTTTCTAGAGAAGAGACAAATTTAATTGATGAATGAAATAACGGAGTAAAAAATTCAAACACCAATAGGTGAGTTACATATAGACGCCAATTTAAAATCAAAGAAGAAACACTTGGCTGTCTTTATTATTCATGTTTCTCATGATTTGTCTTTGATCCTCCCTAATTTTCTCGATTAGAAGCCTGCCTTCTGATCCTTTTCATACATTGACTTTCAGAAAACTAAATAATGGTGCCCTCTCATTATATTAGTGTTCTCTTTATTGCAGGGCCTGTGAATTAGTCAATCATCTTTTTCTCTTGTGAATTGTGATTTTGGTACAAAATCCTACATCATTTCCATATTTGTTCGGGATTCCAAAGAGATACCCTCACTCTATATCTTGGGGAGATACGTTGGAGGATTGACCAGTAGAAGATTGTAGGATCTTTGGAACTGACACTTTATTTGGCTATTTCCAACAACCATATACCTGGGGATCTAACGTTTCAATTGGCAACTAAGATCAAGTTGTTTTCTCTTGGAAAAAGGCATTTAATAAGATAGTGAAAATTAACAGAAAATATTGATGTGTATCAGAAACCTTCATAAAGGTTAAAGTTTGCATCAAACAGCAAGAATGTAGTCCAGGACAAAGTTCGGGCCAAAAGAGTTTGACCTTGAGCTACAAATAGCATTGCTTTCAATCTAGTATGCAATGGGGAAAAATCAGTCGGGGGAAGTGAAAGGTGAAGGTTGGAGAGAAATAATATCTAATGCCTCTTAGCTCAAATCAATAACGGATTGCAAGATACATTATGAGCGAAGAGAAATTCGAATGAGGCAGGCCATTTCAAAATTTTGTGGCGATTATCAATGGGCTTTCAGGAAGCTTTTTTACGAAAATACTAAAGGCCACTAAAAGGCACAAGAAAAGGGAAAAGAAACACGAAGAAAGAAAACAAAATAACAAGAAGCCGGCCCAAAACATAAACCAACAAAAGATCAAGTCCAGACACAAGTTTCTATAGTTAATCAAGTTCCATAATCCTAGGTAAAATCACATAATGAGTACTCTAAGCATAAGAAAAAAGAAAATCATTTTGGTGTAACCTAAGCTCTCACAGAGAGTCCTCAAAAGAAATCTTGGCTTACAATTGAAACTGATTCTAAAGATGTATCCATTCAAGAACTAAAAGCCAATATTCATAAAATACTTTGGTTAACTAAGTAATAAAACAAAAAACTAAATCAATTGGACCAAAAACTTTAACGAACTCTCTGAAGCACATTTCTTCCCAGAAGCATCCCCCTTCGAAATGGGCACAAACCGAAATGAAATAATTGGAAAAGCCTACATGTGAAATGAAATTCTTGGATGTTGGTAACGGCAATCTGTAATCGGCACAAAAATAGGAAACCTTATCTCCCAAACCGAGAACTTAGTTTATTAGGAAACAGGGAAGACAAATGGTAGGATCCTAGAAATTGGAAAAAGGTCCAATAATTGTGCATACAGCTGTGAATGACATCATTGTCATATCCAAGAGATAATTCGTCCCAACCTTCATTGGATCCCCTGCAACTACAGTATTCACCCTTTTCCATGAATGTGATGGTCATCTATCCGTAGTTTTACATTTTTATCGAGAAAGAAAGTAGATTCTGAAATCAGAAATCATGAATGATATGATCTGTAAGGCTTATTCCTAATTAGCTAAACTCTCAGTAATTCTTTTGATCAGCTAACCTCTAAAAAACCATGAAGACTTTAACACTGTCACAAATATGTTAGAGACAGGACTACCATTTCGGCCGCCATAGTGAGGTGCAGTGTCCCAAAACTCATCCCGTAGCTGCGTGAGCTGAGACCTTGTAATTGGCTGAGGATGCTTCCAAGGTTTTGGCTTGCGTATCTTCTTTGTGGATCCTACACAAAGAAGCAGTTTCAGTCATATGTCAAATGGTTTGAATAAAGTACAAACCAACTAAACCATGTTCAAGTGTAGCAGCACTGATAACAAAGGGAAGCCTTGAAAAGTTCAAATAAAATTCCTAAACCTTCAGTACTTCAACAACACAAGGAGAATTAGGAAGCTTCGTCCTAAAATTTTCCTATTTTTTCTTTCATTTTCTCTACTTTCTTTAAGTGCTTTCTTTCCGTTTCAGTATCCTCAGAAGTGTTTTCTTCCTATTATACAAGAATTCAGCAATTCCTGTTATTTTTCAGAATTTGTTATGAGAATAGAGATCGGGGAAGGGAGGAATTCATGTACAGCGATACCTTAGCCATTTTGCAGATTAGAAAAGAGTCAAAAGACAATTGTCATCCCGCAAACTAGCATGTTGTAACAGAGCTTCTACAAATTTTTCGTTTTGATTGCAGTATAAAGTAGAAATATTAGATACCGTCCATTCATATGTTAGTTGCTGAAATTTTAGTCGTAATGTTCTAATACCACAACTCCACTTTTAATCTAAACAAATTCTTTGAATGCGAAACTATTCTTTAGACACAAATATGCCAAGATTTTGAATGCAATTCATGATGACTTCATTGATCCGAAACTGAAAGAATCACTAGTAGAATCACTAGTTGAATCACCAGCAGCAAATGTCAATAAATACGCCAGCAGTAATTCTAATCAACCTTTTAAAAAAAAATCCATCATTCTCAAAATAAATGAAGGATGAAATTATTTCCACAATTTAACTCAATTATCTAAATTGAAAATTCATTATCCTAATTAATGCAAGTAAAGTTAAAGAATCTCGAGGCTTCGAACCACTGTCATAGTCTCAAAACAAACAAACGCACACAATCGAGCAACGCGATAACCACAGAATGAAAATCAAGAAAACAGACGCAACAAACAAAGAAAATCAAGACCAATCCAATCCATTCCGAACAAATTCAATACCAGAAGACCAACACTCCCGCTCTCCCAACAAATCAACTTGCATTGATTATCATCTATATTCCTCATAGCCAACACAGCAGGCAAACATAGAACAAAAAATCTCCAATAATCAAAGAAAGAATCACAGAAGCGAAGTGAACCTCACCATCTCCGTTGGTCTGCGACGATCCAACACAGCCCATTGCCGTTTGCTTGAACGCAAGCCTCAATTCACAAGTAGACAGATACAAAAATGAAGCCAGAGAAAAGCAGAAACTCGGTGGAGAGTTGGAATGGAAGAATTTTGCAGAACCGAAGAATAAGCTTTTTGTAGAGGAGGAAGAAGAAGAAGAAGAAGAAGAAGAAGAAGAAGAAGAAGAAGCTCTGACGAATATTGAATTTATGCAAATAAGAAATTAGTTGATTTAATTTAATTATTATAATTAAAATTAGTGTGGGATTAAGACAAGGGCGAGGGGGTTGGGGCTGTGAATGCGGTAGTTAGCTGTCACGTTTCTTAAAGGCGAGTCCGAGCTTTTTATTTATACTTTTTTTCTTTAGTACTTCCCTTTTTTATCCATTTAAACGTGATGTTATTTATTATTTTCTTCCTCTTCTTGCCCCTTACGCATATTTATGTCTAATTTAATTATTCTTTTTATTTTCAATAATATATTAATGTAATATGTCACTAAATAAATAAGAAATTTAAATAATTAAAAAAAAGAAAGAATAATCTGACAACTCAAACCCAACTTTGGAGTGAGTTGTGGACTTTATTTGAGTTGTTCGAGTCTGTAACAACTCAAGCTCACCACTAACAAATATTGTTCGTTTTAACCCGTTACGTATCACCATCAACCTCACGTTTTTAAAAAGCATTAGTAGGGAGAGGTTTCATTGTGAGATCCCACATTAGTTGGAGAGTGGAACAAAACATTCCTCGTAAGTGTGTGGAAATCTGTCCTTAGAATATGCGTTTTAAAATCGTGAGGCTGACGGCGATATGTAACGGGCTAAAGCGGACAATATATGCTAACGGTGGGCTTGGATGGACAATATTTTTTAGCGGTGGGCTTGGGCGAACAATATCTATTAACAATGGGCTTGGATTGTTATAAATGGTATTAGAGCCATACAGCAAGCGTTGTGCCAACGAGGAGAACGAAACATTTCTTATAAGGGTGTGGAAAGGTAAACATTTTTTTATTTTTTTTTTGTGGGAATTTAACATAGAGTAACGTTAGGTCTTTGAATACCTCATATCTTCTAACAAAATGATAATCTATAACATGTGAAGCTAAGTTGAACTCAGATGAACTTACAAATACTTTGATAGTCGAATGAACTTAATTTTAAGTTCCGAAATTTTACAAATACAGAAGCATCCAAATATAGAATATTACATCAATCTCGAGCTCATTTTCAGTTGCTCGCAACAACGAATCCCTATATAAGTCGGGGTCAAAATCGTACCCGATGGGAAGCTAATTAGAATCCATAGGAAGTATTTGGCTCATACTTATTCCTGATGTTGTAATGTTCTAAGTTTGAATTGTCGTAATTGACTGGCTTCATCTCCATGGGCTTTGGCTCAGGTCCTGCAGCTCCGTGATGGATCTCTGCACTTTTCTCGCGCTGGCGGTGTCGTGGTCTTTCTTTTTGGCTCTTGGACCTGCTATAAGGTGGAGGTATCTCACCAGATTCGTAAAAATCAGCACGGTCGTGACGTTTCGATCGGTGCTTACTTTGCAGTGAGGGATCTTTGAAACTACTTGATTTGAGCTTTGGAGGCTTCATCATCACCTCAGGAAATTGATCACTTGCATTGCCTATATGAGCTTGTCTTGTTTCAGTCAGAGGAACAGGAGCTCTCTGCATTTGAGCTGGTGGTCGATCGGGTTCATCTTCAGGCATCCAGAGAGAATCTTTCAACGGGGTCAGGCCTTTCGGGGTGCTACGAGCTCTGAAACGGGCAGGAACAAAAGAAAGGAAAATGCTAGCCACAGCTTCAAGAGCCAGTTTGGAGAGATCAATGATGAGTCGTCCAAATGATGGCCATCCTGGTGTCTCCCTTACACTATCCACAGGCGAGGTCGATTCTTCCTTGTTTGGTTTTTCTCTATACTCAGTCTCTAATGGAGAATACTGCAACAATATGGCATTTCATAACGCAAGGAAAATGTTACAAATACAAAGGTGTAATCAAGGTAATTTTGGTTAGTGTAACAGCTCAAGCCCACCGCTAGCAGATATCGTCCTCTCTTTGAGCTTTCTCTTTTGGACTTCGCCTCAAGGTTTTAAAACGCGTCTACTAGGGAGAGGTTTCCACATCCTTATAAGGAATGTTTCGTTCCCCTCTCCAACTAATGTGAGATCTCACAATCCACCCCCTTTAGAGGCCGAGCGTCCTTGCTGGCACACTACTCGATGCCTGACTCGAATACCATTTGTAACAGCTCAAACCCACTGCTAGCAGATATTGTCCTCTTTGGGCTTTCCATCAAGGTTTTAAAACGTGTCTACTAGGAAGAGGTTTTCACACCATTATAAGGAATGTTTCGTTCCCCTCTCTAACCGATGTGGGATCTCACAATCTGTTGGAGAAGGAAACGAAGCATGCCTAATAAGGGTGTGGAAACCACTCCCTAGTATACACATTTTAAAACTGTGAGGCTGACGACGAAATGTAATGAGCCAAAGCGGACAATATCTACTAGCGGTGGGCTTGAGCTGTTACAGTTGTACTGTAGCTGTTGTGGTATTCTAAAATATATAGAGAACCAGTGCATCAGAAAATCGATTAAATGAAAACTTACCGTCTGAGACATGCTCGAGGCTCCAAAACCCTGTTGAAGCATATACGTCGCGTATCCCGCCAAAACAGCACCAATGATCATGAGAACATCTAGGGACAAAAGTTTAGGACATTAAGGAACTGAAGACCCTTAAAGCTGGTAATGCACAAAAGATGATACAAACCATGAATGCTTAAACATTGTTTATTTATCACAGATCAACAACAAGGAGGCCAAACATTAGCAACGATACGACGTTCATTACGGTGATCAACTGTTCATGAAATTCTAGATAATTGCAAAACAGAAATCCAAGCAAAGTGCTAAACATTCAAATGATGCAAGCTAGGAGGCTTTGTTTTTCTTTTTCTAGACCAATCAAGGAGTTCGGAGTTGAGCTGCAATCTTTCTACCATATGCAATATCGATATCATATTTGTATAACAGTCTGAGCATCGGGGCAGTCGCAAAAGCAAATCAACGGACTACTTTCACCAGAGCAATGTGAAATATATACAGATTCATCTTCATCTCCCAAAAGCACAAAAAATGATCCTTCAGAAATAAATGAAACACAACACAAGGAGATGTTCCATACCACTGTTGGAAATTGAACTATCTTGATATTCACAATCCTCCGGATTTAGAAATATTTGCCGAATCGCAGCATTTCCACGGTCAATAACTAACAAGGAACAAGTAGATCGGATGTACATTACATCAAAATCGTTTGAGAACTTCGCATCTTCACCTGGTCCATCTCTGTAGCCTGCGACATTTGACTTGCCCCCTGCAATGGTTGTCACACCTGCAAAAGAATTTTAACTATCATATGCTTCTTTATACATAAAGATGAATGGTCACATATGCTTCTCTCTTAGATTTTTCAGAACAAGGATCTCAAGTCATAAAAACGTTCAGCCTTGATTGCAAATGTTTTGGTCTAAACAAGTAATGTATGTTTTGTTATTACCGTGTAAAACTACCCTTATACTAGAAAACTTGGACAATATGTTATATACTGTGAGATCCCAAGTCGGTTGGAGAGGAGAACAAAGCATTTCTTATAAGGGTGTGGAAGCCTCTACCTAGGAGACACATCTTAAAAAAATCGTGAGGCTGATGGCGATACATAACAGGCCAAAGCGGATAATATCTGTTAGTGGTGGGCTTGGGCTGTTACAAATGGTATTAGAGCCAGACACTAGGTGGTGTGCCAACGAGGACACTAGGCCCCCAAGAGGGTGGTTTGTGAGATCCCACATCGATTGGAGAGGAGAATAAAACATTCCTTATAAGGGTGTGGAAACCTCTCCCAAGCAGACGCGTTTTAAAACCGTGAAGCTGACGGCGATACATAACAGGACAAAGCAGTTAATATCTGTTAACGGTGAGTTACATATATAATTAATCTTTTATATGCAGTCTTAACACGCTCTTGTCTTGGTTATAACTATTAGGTCTCATAGAAATAAGTGTTACTTGTTAATCCAATAGGAATGCATCAATTACCAGCATCTCCAATCTTTCTGATGGCCAAATTCAAGGTATCAGCAACATACACATTCCCTCTATCGTCCACGGTTACACCCTTTGGATGATTAAAACGGGCGTCGTTTGGCTTTCCATCAACATGCCCCGTGTGGCTTTGAAACGACCCAGCAACCAATCTTGCTCTAGTATCTGAGAAGACAATCAGAATAACAGAAGTGAAAAGTGGAATAAAGTTAGTAATTCATAAATGAAAAGATTTCAAAGGTTTAACAACAAATATGAATAATCACCACGTGCATAAGCTTTCACTTTCTATTTTTTTCAGATAAAAGCACTAAAAGGCATAGGAAGGAATAATGTGTTCTTTCGGCATCAGATCAGAGACAAAACTCATGTAACTGAAACCGAAACCGGACCATGATGACTCGATGGATTCCAATGAACGACGCTTTGTATCAGACATGAGAATAAAGTATAACATCTTGTACTTGAATCAAAATCACCATTTCTAAAATATCAAGTAGCAAATTCAGAGGCTCAGCATTTGCTTTCAATACTAAATACGAAACGCTGCAAGTTTAAATCTAGACTACCATTTTCAATAAAAAGGACTGCATATGAACAAAAAACATGGAAACGTCGAGATGAACTGCATTATACATTGGGATAACGGGGTAATCTGCATAATATTGCTACGAACCAAATCGACAGTGAAAAAAATGAACGGGGGTTAATCTAGATTATCATTGCCAATAGAAACTACAGGGGAAAGGCATCATACATTTGGATAATGGAGGGGTGATCTTCACAATATTGCTATTAACCGAATCAACGACGAAAAGCTCGCCCTCCTTCGAGACATGGATCTTATGTGGAAGAACTCCAATTTCATTTCCCTCCACTACAGTTTCAACCAAGTACCCATTCTCAAATTGTAGGACATTACCATCTGCCAAACAGAAGCTTAATGACATTAAAATTCGACAGCCGAACAAAGGTAACCAGTAAGTACCAAAAACACTGAAATAGTTTTTTCACAACCACCTGATGGGGGGGCTTTATATGAAGACCTAGTCCATTTGACAATAGAAGACAAGTG